TGGCTGCATGAGTTGTGTGTGGGGTGGGAGGCGATAGTTAATTATTGATTTAACAATTTTATAATGATTTAGAATCTTTTATAATTAAGTTAGGATTCTGTTGTAATCTCAATGATTTACTATTTATGCATATATTTTATCTTCTCCGAATTTTACTGAGTTTGTTTGTTGTATTTTGTAACAATTTGAATTTTTTATTAATGGATTAATTGATAACTCTATTGTAGTTATTAAATAACAGTCTTACTCGATGAAAACGATTTCTCCATGTTTACTGAATATAGTATTATTTTGATATAGTATTATTAATTATGTTAGCTAATTGTAAAAAAATCTTTGGCATTTGTTGTAGTTTGAAAATTTGTTGGTAATACTCTGATGCTTGCCTATTGTAAAAATTAAAAATTGATTAATTGATTTTTAATATATAATTATTTTGTATTTTAATAAATTTGATAACCTTTAAAATCAAATCGATCGATAAGAAGGCCTAATTTGTACTATTATGTACAAATTTTGTATGTACTATGTTATGTACAAATTTTGTATGAAGTAATGTTTTAAATGATAAATGTTGGGAGTCACTCCATATATAACTTGTTTTTGGGAAAGTAATCTTTTGAATGTTTTAGGACAAATCTTCAAAGATTAAAGTCTTATATTACATTCCATAATAATATAATATATATTATAGTAATATGTATATTATATTGACTATTGCTTACCAAGTAAATAATACTTATGTTGTTACTCTACAAATAGTCATAAGGATTTGGTGAATCTATATGTTATTATGAACATATATATAATATTCCCAGCTATCACTTACTAATAACTTGTACAACTTGTTGCTCTTAAATTTTATAATGATTTTTAATGTATTCTTTGTATTTGTTTACATTTTAGACTATGTTTAGATATGGTTATTAGTTTTTTCGGAAAATTATAAGAGATCATTGAACTATACTCCTTGCATTGTGGGTAATGTTTGGTAAAAAATTGTTTGCACACGATGTTTATAGTAAGTTAGTAGGTGCATGATATGTGTTGGCATGTAGGCTTTTAACATTTAATTGTGGTTAATTGATGTATTTTTGTACCTTATTTAATCACTTAATAAAAATATCGAATGTGAATAAGTATATTAAGAAATTTATTAAATAATTATAGATATTTAACTATATATTCAATTATTATTACTCCATATTAATAACTTGAAATTATTAATTAATTTTATCAAATTAAGTTTCACATGAATCATCAACTGATCATGAATTTATATAGAGATCAACTGTGTCCACCGTTTTCAACTAGGTATTCATGACCATTAAAGTCTACGGACTTCTCTTCGTGTATTCACATACAACAAAGGCACTATGCTAAACCTCATATTATCACTGTCATTTTCATATTTATTTTTTTCACCAAACCATTTCCTCTATATTAATTGTTCGAATAAAATCAATCTAAAATTCTCTAAACAAAATCATAATATCATCGTTTTGAGCTTGATCTCGCATAAACTTTCACCATTGAAAATATCTTTGCACTTTATATCTAAATCTTTATACGTAGCTTTTTCCCCTTTCTCAACTACTACATTAAATTTTGTTTGCACACCCAAACATTATCACCTCTCACCATATGGCAATGTGTACGTAATTTTGTAACACACAAAAGTTTTTTATTCCAATTTGATAAAATTAAAACTTTATTTTGAGTCATTTTCAAACGTCAAGGCTGACGTGGAATTTTCATCTTTAAGAGATTTCGATTTCCAAGAATTCTTTTCCTAACTGAAAAACTGGTACAGATAGCTCAGTTTGTAAAAAATAAAAATAAAAATAAAATGATTTTGTTTTTGTTTTTTTGCCATTTTACATTTTATAATCAAACCGTACATCAGAAAGGATAAAAACCAATATCAATAACATTAACATAGGAATAACAATTCTAATCTTATCATAAAGAAAAAAGCGTTCAATCAAGAAAAAGGGAGTACTATTATTATTATAGGGGATATATTATTAGTTAAATGATTGATAGACAAAGCAATAATTGGTTCTTATCATTTTATCCTAAAACTCTTTTTTAGAGATAGCTATGGATGCAAAATACAATTCTGTTATTTGGAGAAAATGATGGTCTACCAAAAATGCTGACGATATACGTCCATATCCTAAAATCACTATGAAATAATAGTTCACAAATCACATCAGAGCCGCACTTTGAATACATCAAGCTCGATTGAGATGGGCAATGACTAGGAGAATCGATCCTTTATATAATACAAATTACAACCTAATGTACTAATCAAGCTGAGAGTAGATTTTGAAACTTACCAAACTACTAGTTACTACAATTAACTTTCACCTTATTTATCAATGGCATGGAACAAGACAGAGCACTAGGAACACATTTTTTGAACAATGTAAAATGCCACAAAAAATGCAGCAATTGAGTTAAATGCATATTTACACAACCAATCCTTTCCTTCAGCTAGACTTCTGAAATAGGACAGGGAAACAGTTTTTCAGAGTACATCCACACAGAATTGTGCGATTCCAAAACTAGAATCTTACCCTAATAAGTTTACATGTTTGTCATATAGTTTATACCTTCCGCGATATTTTCTCATTAAGCTTCCATCTCCAACTAATTCTTCAGTCAAGTGTCTCGGCATATGTCATTGCTTCACTGGTCTTTATTACCTCGATAATTGACACGCGTTGAGAGTTTTTTGATTGATTCATTATTTAGTATGATTTGACTGACTCTGCAATTTGGAATTGATCAATTGATATATGATACACCAGTACAAATTTGAGTACTAGCAATAGTTGTGAAACAACTGCGAGAAGATCATAAAAATTTACCTGCTTGTAATCTAAAACAAAAGCTTCCCCAGACAAATCCTCTATAGCTCATCCTAAAATAAAAAAGAAGAGAATTATAACAGAAATAATACAAATATAATCTGAAGTAGAATGCAGGATGTTCAGATGGAGTACAGATTAACATTTAGGCGGAAACATGTGACATCGCTCTTTGCAGAATGGTCACATATTACCATAAACATTAACACATCCATGCACATACAACTTCACTCCTTCTGCCATAAAGTATTACCAGTTTTGCAAATAAGGACATGCAAAAATAATCTAATAGGGGATAGGCAATGAATATACCATTTTGTTCAACGATATACCATAAGGTCATCTTCAGATCAGTTTTAAGTCGTGAAAACCTGCAGGCTCACGGGTTCTTTGAGACAAACAAGCTAGAAGCTTGACGAGTTCACTTGTTTTATACATTGATTTAACTAAAACAAGGGTCAAACATCAATTTGAAGTTGCTTTCTATTCTAGTCGTCCAAAACAAGGAGCCTAAGAATCACTGGATAAGGTTCGCAAATAACTGAAACATAGGTCACCTTGCTATGTTTGAAAATGCCAAACATAATTTGGAAGGGTAACTGCTCAAAATATACTACTACTCTGGTCCAAAATCAATTTGGTCCATACAAGTGTTGCTCTAGAAAACCAAGGCATTAATTTTATATTTCAAATCTACCCTAATTTCCAATAAATGATCTTAAAAAGTTCAGAGTAGAGATGCAAGGTAATGTGATGAGAAATTACCCTTTATGATTAGTGCTAATAATAATTTTCTTAAAGGTAACAACATTTATTTTAGACTGGGGAGAGTAACAAATGCGGAAAGCAATGCAATTATACACATCCATAAATATGCGGTTAGGCTAAGATCTTTCTTAGACTTGTCAGATCAGTTGCTCGTTTTAACTGGAACTAGAGCAATAAAGATGCTCATGTAGAGTTCAAGCTCTCAAATAATAAAAAACGTCTAACTGGGCAGGAAAAAGCTGAAATAAAGGAAAAACTAAAACCGAAAATACATCACTTACCTGTTTTTATGGTGTTAACATTGTATTAGCACCAAGAGTAAGTCCACAAGGTGGAACTGCAGAAACTGGTGTGCAAGATCTAGAGGAATCCCATTCCATATCAAAGG